AGCCTCAAGCTGTCGCCCTGGGTAGAGTGCCCTGGCATCACAGCTCACAGCAACCTCCAACTCCTGGGCTCAAGCGAGTCTCCTGTCTCAGCCTCCCAAGTAGCTGGGACCACAGGCGCTTGCCACAACGTCTGGCTATTTTTTTGGTTGCAGCCATCATTGTTGTTTGGCGGCCACAGGCTGGATTTGGCTGGCACCTTAGCCATTGAGCCACAGGCACCGAGCCCCAGCTAATTTTTGTTGCAGTTCTCATTGTCATTTAGCTGGCCCAGGCCAGGTTTGAACCCACCACCCTTGTATGTGCCTGGCGCCATAACCACTGTGCTATGGGCACTGAGCCTATTTTTCCTGTTTTTCTGTTTGTAAAAACAAGTAGAAATACTATAAATTAAAAAAATAAAATTTCTCACTGGAGTAGCTCAAGCCTGAAATCCTAGCACTCTGGGAGGCCAAGACAGATGTGTCACCTAAGCTCAGGAGTTCAAGACCAGCCTGAACAAGAGTGATACCTCCTCTCTACTAAAAGTAGAAAAACTAGCTGGGCATGGTGGTAGGCACCTGTAGTTTCAGCCGCTTGGGAGGCTGAGACAAGAAGATCACTTGAGCCCAAGAGTTTGAGGTTGCTGTGAGTTATAACTATGGCATATTATCCAAGGTAACTGAATGAAACTGTCTCAAAAAAAAAAAAAATTGCTTGAGCGCAGGAGTTTGAGACCAGCCTGAGCAACAGTGAGACCCTGTCTCTAAAAATAGCCAGGCATTGTGGCAAGCACCTATAGTCCCAGCTACTCAGAAGGCTGAGGCAAGAGAATCACTTGAGCCCAAGAGTCTGAGGTTGCTGTGAGCTACGACACCATGGCACTCTATCAGTGGCAACAAAGTGAGACTCTGTCTTTAAAAACAAAAAACAATTGCCTAAGTCCCTACTTTTAATTCTTTTGGGTGCATGAGCAAAAATGGAATTGTTGGATCATATGTTAATTCTATTTCTGTTTTTTAGGGATTACCATATTTTTTTCCATAATGGATACATCATTTTACATTCCTATCAACAATGCACAAGGGTTCTAATTTTTCTACATCCTTACCCATCTTTGTAATTTTTCTTTTTTTTTTTTTTTCAGTTTTTGGCCAGGGCCAAGTTTGAACCTGCTGCCTCTGGTATATGGGGCTGGTACCCTATTCCTTTGAGCCATAGGGGCCACCCAATTTTTCTGTTTTTTTAAAAATAAAATAGCTGGCTTAGTGCCTGTGGCTCAAGTGTCTAAGGCACCAGCCACATACACCTGAGGTGGTGGGTTCAAATCTGGCCCCGGGCCCACCAAATAACAATGATGGCTGCAACCCCAAAATAGCCAGGCGTTGTGGCAGGCGCCTATAGTCCCAGC